TAGAAATCTTGTGAATTTTGTGCACATTTCTAGCTGAAAACTTTTAAAAACATGTGCTCATGAGCACATTGTGCACATAGATTTTATACACTGCTTCAGATGATAAACAAGTTGTGCGTTAAAGTTATACCAATGAAATTAGTAATAAGCAAATGTGTGACAATATTAAGTAAAATAAGTATCTTGCCACATAAAAAAATGTTGTAGCCAATCATAATAGTATCGAATTTACTATCAGGTAATAAGTTATCCGATTATGACGTGATAATTATTAATGCAGCCTACTGTAAAATTTTTAGTTTTTCTTTAGCATTATTATTATTTTGAGCAGCTGCAAGATTTAAATACTTCAATGCTATTTCTTTATCAATAGACAAATAATGATCGCCAAGTTTATACTGAGCTGCATCATGTCCATTATTAGCTGAAAGCTTTAGATAATTAATATATTCTTCCCTTGTTTCTAAATCAATTTCTTCATTTAACTGCAAAGCGCATGCATAACGATACTGTGCAGGTACAATACCATCATCAGCAGCTTCTTTAAAAAGAGCAATAGCTTGTGCTAGATCTTTTGAAACATGATGACCTTTCCATAAATAAAAACCTTTCCAATACTTTGCGAGTGGATGATTAAGTTCGGCGTTTTCTACAAAACATCTCCATGCATCTTCATAATTACCTTTATTATGAAGCTCTATTCCTTCTTCAACTTGCATTACTAAGTCCATTAATTTGTAATTTTTATCATCATATTTTGGCATTGAAGAATTTCCATTGATATTAGAGTATTCAATTTTCTCTAAATCCTTAGGATTATCTTGTTTAAGTCTCGAGCAATCATCAGGGATTGTATGGTCTGGTGCCAAATTTTTAAGCGATAAGGACAACTCTATAAAATCTATACGTTTAGTTGGCAATTTATCCCATGCTGTTTAATTAAATAAAATTGATATTTAAAATGCTTAATAGGTTGCTTAAGTAAGATTACAGTAAATATATATATTTGATATGTGTATACCTTTTGAAATAATTTCCATTAAACTTAACATAATATTTTTATCATCTTCATTTTTAAATTTGCAAACTTCTAGCGTTAATGTTTCTCGATTGCCACTCAAAACATGTATCATTATTTCTTCAGGGCTCATCTTTTCATAAGGAATTTTTTCATAGCAAAGCTCCCATATTAACATTCCAAAACTATGGAAAAGTTTTTTAAATATATTTTAAAGTATAAAATCGTAAAATTTTTTTTATTATATTAACTATAATACCTGAATATTTCACAATTAACCGTGTAGTTTTGTTTCATTTTAGCATCCATTTTTTCTGGAGCCATCCAATTAACAATGCAATCTGATGTCTCTATCATATTTATGGTTGGAGCGTCGTTCATACGAGAATAATCAAAATTCGTGAGTTTTGCTTCCATATTTTTAGTAATCTATTGAAAATTAGAATATTAGAATATTAACCTATTTTGATGATTGATAAATTATTAGATTATAACGAATACATTACCATCACATTTTCACATCTAACATCATGATGAAATATATTTGCTTCTTTTAAGAAAATAAGTCCTCGACAAATGTCCTGCAAAATCTGAACCTTTTTTAGCCATGAAATATAATACGTGGTGTAAACATCTTTCAAACTTCCATATTCAGCCCATTCAGAAACGATGAAATCTTCATTGTTAATATCCAAAATGCCATAAAAACGAATAATATTTTGAAGATAACTTAGTTTTGCTAAGATTTTTAGTTGACGAAATGCATTATGACCTTTAGTAGGTTTGCATGCTACTTCAATTATTTCAGTATCTTTTCGGTATAATTTTTTAAAAACAGAACCACTAGTACATTTTTTCTCTATAATGGGAGGATCAATTAAGTCTTCTGAATTAATGAGCGCCAGTTTTTGGTTTTGTATGTTTTGAATACAAGATATTTCTTGGATAGTTATATCGTCAGTAGTCTTTTTATTACTTTCAAGATACTATAGAAGTTAAAATTAGTATAAATATTATATAAGTCAATTTTAAAAATGCATACTGTAATAAATTATGTGTTATTATATACTTTATCAATTTTTTCAAATTCTTTTTCAATTTTCTTCATATCAATCGTAATTTGGACTGCGTTTGTTATTGTTACTGTAGTGTTCAAATCATTCATATAACCATCGTATTCTTTCATCAATCTATCAAATTTTTTTCTCACATTACTAGCATTCCAATATTTTTTAATTCCTTTAAATTGTGTCACTTCTTTAGCAAACTTTTTGACCTGCTCCAAAGTATTTTTGAATTTTTGAGTGGCAAGATAAAAATTTCTTTCCGAAATAGACACTTTATTGTTATCACTTTTAAATGACATTTTACATGTATATTTGTTGCATTGTATATTTTCATAATTGTCGACCTTTTCATAAATATCAACCTTTTCTTGAATTATAATCTTTGTGAGAAATTCATGATCTTCATTTCTAGACAAGATATCTAAGAAATATTCTGCAGTCTTAGTTCTATCGAGTAATGTTTTTGCAATATACTGATTGCATTGTGCATTTTCATAAATGGTCTGTAAGTCTTGGACTACAACCTTTGTTAAAGCAACTAGACCAATCGCGGGTGCAAGTGCCATTATATTTAATAAGTTAGTTTATTTGCCAGTTGAAGACCTGAAAAGAATCATTCTTGTATTTATATATTTTACGAAAGATTTCGCTTTTCTGTAACAGCATTGTAATTGGTATTTACGCACACAAAATATTTTGTTATGCTATATTTGTTACCTAATTTAGGAATTTAGAATAACACGCATAATCGGAGTCTTCAATCCAGATACGTACGTATGTACGCTTAAAATTCTGCGTACAAATAGCGATAGCGTGAACATGACAATTGTAATACAATTACCTTAATATAAAGGTTTGTCAAACTATTATTTATTATAGGTTGTAACTACCTTTGTTACAAACTTATAAATTTGTTAGTTTTAATCGGACTTTCTGACCGTATTACAAATCGATATATCGGTTGTTGATAGAAATAGAACAGGCCTACAGAGACCAGGTAATACATGATTTTTAATAAATTATAGTATAATTGTGAACCAGTTCTAAAAAAGTGAAAATCATATCATACGTAGTCCAAGCATGAAGTGTCACGATGCTTGATATAATTAGTAATAATAAATAATATCAGTTCTGTTTTCACTTCATATCTGATTATGTTAAGCATCAGTTTGGATTTGATTATGCGCAGTTGAATTATCGCGGTTTGCAAATTGATGTACGTTTGATCACCCTATGTAAAAAAATATACTGAAAATATCTTGAATAAATATTAAAATTTTTCCGCATAAAATTCCGTATGAAATTCCACATGCAAATATACGGAATTGGAGGCGAATTCCGCATCACTTGGTAAGGAATTTTATATGGAACCCTTTTTATTTATGATTTAAATTGTATATATTTTGTTATTTTTTATATATACTAAGTATAAATTCCGTATATATTAAATCTAATTGAGAATAAATGATAAAATATGATTAATGTATATAATAAATATAATTAAGTATAAATTTTTATATATTCTGTATATAATAAATATAATTAAGCATAATTTTTTTATATATTTTGTATATAATAAATATAATTAAGCATAAATTTTTTATATATTTCATATGTAATACTTATAGTTAACTATATAAAAAACTATTAACAAAGTCAAATATCTTTTAATCAACCACAAAAAAAAAAAGCAACAAATCTATACAAATAAACTTAAAATAATGAAATTGCTTTGTGTTATTGCAAAAACTCAAATGATAACTCTAAAAAATAACAATTTTAGTAGTAATAAAATTAATCTAGAAAATATTAAAAAAAGTATATTATATTAGATAAAAAAAAATAAACAAAACAAAAAAAAAAAAAAGAATAGTATAAGTAAAAAAAATAGAAAGAAAATAAAAGAAAAAGCATAAACAAGAAAAAGCAAAAAAAAAGAAATAAGAGAAATAAAAAAAAGTGAAAAAAATGAAAAAAAAAGAAAAGAAGTAAAAAAAAAAGTGAGAAAAAAAAAAAAGAAAGCAGTATAAAAAAGAAAGTAAAAAAAAAATATATTAAAAAAATATAAGATAATAAAAAAGCAAAAAAAGAAAAATAGAAAAAAAAACAAAAATAAAGAAAAATATTTATAAGACAAAAGAAATAAAAAAGTAAAAAAAAAAAACAAAAATAAAGAAAAAAGTTATAAAGCAAAAGAAGTAAAAAAAAAAGTAAAAAGAAAAAAATTATAAAAAAAGTAAAATAAGAAAAAGAAAAAAGAAAAAATATAAAAAAAAAAAAGAGAAAAAAAAACAAAAATAAAGAAAATAATAAGTTAAAAAAGTAAAAAAAAATAAGTAAAAAAACAAAGATAAAAAAAAATATAAAATAAAAAAAAGTAAAAAAAAAAAAAAAGTAAGAAAAAATATAAAAATAATAAAAAAAATATAGCAACAAATTAGTAAATAAATTTTTTTATTTGCAAAACTCAAATTTCACAATTTGTTATTAATTTTTTTTTATTTATAGTATATAACTAAAGAAAGAAGTACTAATAATCAGATTAATATAAGCTATATATAGCTTTTTAAATATAAAGCTAATACTGTAATAGTATTATTTACGATTTTAGCTTTCACTTTATACAGTATAATCTGTCAAAACTGATAATCTGTCAAAACTAATAAAAAATTGATCCACTATTTTTTAATTAAATATAGTAATTTTATCCTTCAAACCTGATAACTTGTCAAAACTAATACAAATTTAGTCTACTATGCATATTAGTTTGATAGATTATACTGTACTATAACTTATATAATATCAAGCTAATACTTGCTAAAGTATTATTTACAAATACAGCTTTTGCTTAATATTATATTTTAATAAAATTATAAGAAAATATAAAATAGATAAAGAATAAAAAAAAAGAAGCAAAAATAATAAAAAATGATAAATTAACTATAAAATATAAAAGAAATTTTAAAAATTAATTAGAAAAAAATATTTTAATTAAAAAAATTTAATAATTAAATAAAATATTTGTTAAAAAAATATATTAAAATATAGAAGAATAAATAAAATATAAGAAGAAAAAAATTTAAAAAAATTTTTGTTTTATATAACATTATCTAAATATTATTTTTGGAGTCCTCTAGTTATTGTAGAGGCTATAAATAAAAAAAATATAATAATTGTTTTTAAAGTAGTATGAGTATACCTTGTATAATAATAAGATAATTGGTATAAATTAAATTATACAAGAATTAAAAATGGATAGATAAAAAGAGAAAAAAGTAGCAAAAAAAAAAGAAAGAGCAGATAAAGAAAGAAGCAAAAAAGAAAAAAGAAGAAAAAAGAAGAAAAAAGAAAAAAAAGAGAATAAATGAAAAATATAATATATAAAAGAAGAGTATAACTTGTATATAAGAGATTTATTATAATAAACACAAAATAAATCCTCTTGTACAATTATATCTTCTTTTCAACCAATTGAACAAAATCTCTTTGCTTACCAAACCAATCTTATAAACAAATCTCTCAAACACTAGATACTTACTTCATATAATAACAATATCATTATTAGACAAGTTCATAAAATCTTTCACCAATTTAATACAATATCTATTGGCAATCTAATATTAATATCTCCTACTTAATCTGTTATCTACTTTTCTCTATCTTCTGCAAGCCATGTCCAGGCTGTAGTCTTAACTCCAATTGTATCTCCAAACACTGCACTCTTGAAGTTTTATCTATTCTCTCTGCTTAATTTTTGGAAAGAAAATCTAATAATTAACTTAAACTTAATGCTAATCTTATACAATCCACTACTATCAAAAGCCTACTTAATATTTTACTACTACTCTATATTAATGTTACCAACTCCCTTACATTACTGCTTTTCTATAATAATAAGGTATCTAGCAATCTTTTTTAAATTATATTAGCTAACAAATCTTACAAAAAATTTATTTTCTTTACTGATGGTTCTGTTAAAAACCTTGGTAAAGAGCAATATACTATAGGCATTGGTTGGGCCCAAATTTATATCAATATCATTATTTATAACTTCTTAGCCCAAATTACTAACTAGCTTTTATTATACAAAGCTGAGCTTCTTACTATTCTTTTTGCTATCTCTACTCTCTTATATAACTCTTCTATTAATATCTTTACTAACTCTCAATTCATAATCTCTAAATATAACAAACTTCTCCAGATCTTACAATTATCTACCAAATATTTTAAATTTAACTCCTGGCCTATTTGGTATACAATTCTTAATTCTCTTAAAGCCTATAATATTAGCTTAATCTTTCACAAATTTCAAGCTTATGCTAATAATACCTTTAATAATTTAGCAAATTATTTTGCCAATAACTATGCATTATCTTCTATCTTGTTATTTAACTATTCTAATATTCACAATTCCTACTTCTTCCTTTAATAAAAAAACTTCTCTATTGATAGCCTTATGAGACAATTTATTAGAAATATTTACAAAGTAAAAACTATTTCTATATAGTTCTCACAAAATCATGCCTCTGAATAGTCACATTTTTTTCATATTATAGACTAGAACTCTACCTGGCTTTACTTTAATAATAACTAAAAGAGATTATATAACTTTACTAATTTCAACCTTAATTATTTTAAATTCTTTAAAATTAAAATATTACTTAACAATTTCTCTACTTATTTATACTTTCCTTCTTTATTACCCAACATATTTCCATCTCTCTATTGTTTTCAATATAACCTTTATAATTCTTCAACTCATTGGTATATACTTCTAATATAATCTTTTATTACAGATTATTCATACCTTTATTTTTAAAATTATTTCTAACTTTAATCTCAACTATAAATTAAACTATCTTATATAAACAATCTCTTCTTACCCTTACTTCTCTTTTTATCCCTTACTAATTTATCTCTGCTTTCTTCATTCAACTTTTAGAGGCCTTATTTTTCATTTTCTTATTTAATGCATATTACTATTTGATATTTTATAGTCTTTTGCTTCTCAAATTATTATCTAAGCTTTTATTAAATTCTCTAATCAACTAATCAAATATGGAAATCATATTTTATTAACTTCTCTGCTTGGAAAAAAGCATATTAAATATCTTCAAACTTTATTTCTATTCAACTTCACTGACAATCTCTTTTTTATTTCTATTCTAGAACTCATAATATATTTACATACAATTGCCTAGCAATTTACTAGATTACTATATTCTGATTCTAATTTTTGCCTACTTGCTGGGCTTGCCAATTATAAATTTAATATCTGGTCTACCATATAGGCCCAATATAATATTTTTATTTAAACTATTCAAATCTAAATAAGTCTTGATCACTCTAGTAGATTTAGATTACAGATAAATAATTAATCTGAGCTCTTATTCTTGCATATAGTTTATATTTATTCATTTGTATATGAATTAAGTTTTCATCTAGTTTTTATATATCTACTTATATAAATTACTCAATAAAGATATGAGCAAGGCCTTACCTTTAAATTTAAAAAAAAAACAATAAACACAGAAAATTATAGGTTCTGTTATTATTACCAAATCGG